ATACCACCAAACATGTGTCAACCAACAAATATCCACAAGGCAGGGGAAAAGTCAACTCGTTTGTCTTCTCGATGGCAGATTCATGAGAAAATTAAAAGAAATTGGCGGAAGATAAACCTTCAGATAGTAACGTGTGATGAATGAGTCATTGCCGCAATATTAAAGCCATACTACTCAAAAGAAGTTAAGGACCCCTAATTCAGGCATGACCGTTTAACTAGAGAAATATGCAAGAAACTGATGCTCCTTAACTTCTTTTAAGTAGTATATATCATGGCGGCCTGTGAATAAAAGTCTCGACCATGGAAAATCAGTGATTGAAAGCATGAGCAACATTACATAAAAATAGTTTAAATTTACACAACCATTCCAGCTGTCAGGGCAGCTTGTGAATAATAAAGTCCAAATCAGGCAGAACAGTGGCACTTGTTATTAATTTTTATCATTTTTTTTCTCAAAACTATTTTCATGCAATACAGATAATTTTTCATCAACATTTCTACACATGATATTATGCTTAATCTCTCCAGTATGTATCGAGGTAGATATCATAGTTGACGTCCAAAACAAATTTTCAGGTTGTTGTTGTAACACAATTTGGGGTCAGAAAAAGTAGGAGATTTTCTTTTTTCTTGAACACAAATGATATTCCAGAGAAATTTGATTTGAACAAATTATCAACATGAAGGTGAGATCAAATCACATTTCAAACAAGTGGAGACATGACATGATGCTAATGCTTAAATTTGTTCTCTGCGATGGTGAGAAGTGTCTCCATTAGCCAGGGCACCATATATGCCACTCACTCACAGTCTACATAACACAAGATGGATGACGACAAGACACACAGACAGACAAGATGGATGATGACAAGACACACAGACAGACAACAAGATGGCCGAACACTGCCCCCTGTGTTAGTAAACCATGGCAGCAGATACACAAACATCCTGACTGACATCTCTGACTGACATGGGTCTGATGGCCACCACAGATACACCTGTCGGCTGGCAGTGTAAACGTAACTCAGCCCAGAAACTTCTTCCAGTCATTGTGCATAGTTAGAAATCTTTGTTAGAAGCCCAGTTCCAAAAATGCACTCAACTCTCCAGCTGTCAAAACTCCTACCTTCAAACATAGGTTTTGACAGTCGTAGCACTGAAAGCTTTTCCAGAATATCACTCAGAGTAGTTTGGGTGAAGGGGAATTTTACACCTGAGAAATACTTTTTCACGATCAAACTCATTTTAATATTGTGATCTGACTGAGTTGATCGTACCACCAATTTGAACATTCTTCAGTAAGATAACAGTATGTCAGAAAATTTCGAAGGAAATCCTCCCAAATGCAGATCCAAGAAATTTACCAAGTACATATATATGTAGACCGAAGACCAAAGATCTGAACCCATCACCAGCAGGTTGTGCTGGGCAAACAGAAACAAATCTACATTACCAAAGCACCACAGTGGACAACAGGACCTCCTAACTCACCATTTTGACAGATGCTCATGAAATATTTTCAGGCAATATAAAAACACAAAACATTGTCGACTGTGTGGGGTAAACATTCTCCATACGTTTAACTGACAGTTACACCAAATGCATTATAAGAACATGGGAATAAGGTATTCAGCTGTATGTTCAGCAACCTAGTCCTGCACCATGGCTGGAATATATTTATTTTATGAAAACAAAATAATCTAAATATGTTTACGAAAGGAAGTCTAGCCAGCTCTAGCTAGCTCTATTCCACTGAAATCAGCATCAGGAAAAGTATTTGCTTAATTTTAGAGGCAAGAAGAGTATTGTGTAATATAAAATTTCATAGACTAATTGTTAGTCTAACAGCTACCTTGAACATATACATCACACCATCCAAAGATACCAATAACTCAGTCAGTTCATAATGGCGTAGAAACATACTGACACAAAGCCAGGTTCCAAGGATGTATCAGGTCATATCACAACCACCAGCTCACAGGTGGGATATATAGCGGAATAACGCTTGGAACACAGTCTTGGGTAAGTCTGTTGTTATGTCTAGGATGTCACAGCATAAACAACACTTGAGTCCTATATCACGCAGTCATCACACATGGAATAAATGTCGTAGCTAAATGTTGAACTATGCAACATCCCAGGTGGGTTTTAAAGGGTACTAATGGTTGGAACAGTCTCGATAGTCTGTCTCCCAGACCCCAGGGTATACATTTAGAAATGAATCCAACACAAGTCAAGAATGATTTGGCAAGTCTAGATTGCCTCTGGTCTATTGAATTGAAAATAAGCATTGCTCTGGGCTCCATTTGTATTTTATAATACTTCGCAGTTATATATTTTTAGTGAGTGAGTGAGTTTGGTTAAACACCGCTTTTAACATTATTCCAGTTATATCGCGGCGTGTCAGCTTAATGTGGGAGGAAAGCCCAAAGTGATGCAGGTCTCAGACGTTTACCACTTCGGTGAAACCCACGAGCACGTGTATGGTGCTGACAAACCTAGAAACATAATCGGGGCGAACCGGGATTCGAACCCAAAATCATAGGTTTCTGGCGTGCCCAAGGGACACAACTCTGCACAGCAAATCGCGGCACCTTAGACAACTGGGCCACCCATGCCCCCTATATATTTTGAAATAAGATAACTTTATTTCTGGGACTAAATGTTAGTCTTCAGTCTTAATTACGTTTGTTGTTACCTTGACGCCACAGGAATAAACTACCACCAGGTCATCATATATCACGCAGTCATATCACGCAGTCATATCACGCGTAGAATAAATGTTGTTGCTACATGGTAAACCTTTCCATACCTCATGTTTGCCACTACTCAAAGACTGTAATTAAAGAAGCTTACTGAGAATGATAGTTGTAATTGTTTCCTCAAGCACTGTCTCTTCAAACAAAATTCCTGTCATATCCAAGACGACAAACATTAAGAATATTCGTGAGCGGAATACTAATCGTTTTATTTTATGAATATACTAATAATAAACCTAACATCAGACATTGGAGTTTCCTCTGAATTCAGCCTGAGTACGACAGTTATCATAAAATGTCAAGCACATACTTAAAACTGTGTGTTTGGACAAAACTAGTAAATGAAAGGACACTAAGTCTGGTGCCTACTTGAAGCCACGCCACTGCTCACAGGGTACAGTATCTAAGCCCCTGTGTACAAAGTTTCTAAGCCAGACATTCCATTTTGTTTAGACACTATTTCCCCTGGGACAGGTCATGAATGCCCTCAAGGCAAGCTTTCTGAGTCTCACCGAGGCGTTCTTGAAGGATATTTGAATTGTGTTGGTACAGTAGACCTGGTAAGACATAAAGCAATGTGACAAGTTCCACAGAGGAACTCACATATTGGACAGTTTTGAAAAACAAATTAGTTATAACTAAAACAAAATTGTTATGGATGAGCAACTTCTTTATTACAATTATGCATAATTGTAATAAAGAAGTTGCTCATCCATAACTTCTTTATTACAATTATGCATAATTGTAATAAAGAAGTTGCTCATCCATAACAATTTTGTCTTAGTTACCATTCCAACTTCTAAATGCCACTCAAAGAAGTTAAATTAGTTATAGATGAATGTGCTTGTACTGTACCATGTAGTCTTAGAAACTCTTGTAGGGATGGTTCCAAACAGAAATCTTAGCGCTGAGACCTTGTCCCATACTTTATCATAGGATAATATAGTCTTTGCACTAAGATTGCTAAGTGTAGCAGGGCCTGGATACGAGAGTATCATGAGTGTGCAGGGCTTGATTTAAGGAACTTGACGTAACTTGAACCATGTGCATCTTGCCATGAAAACCAAGTTGCACCAAGCAAACTCAGGTTGCACCAAGCAAAGCCAGGTTGCACCAAACACAACAAGTTGCACCAAACAAAACCAAGTTGCACCAAGCAAAACCAAGTTGCACCAAGCAAACCCAGGTTGCACCAAGCAAACCCAGGTTGCATCAAGCAAACCCAGGTTGCACCAAGCAAAACTAAGTTGCATCAAGCAAAACAAGGTTGCACCAAGCAAAGCCAAGTTGCACCAAGCAAAACCAGGTTGCATCAAGCAAAGCCAGGTTGCACTAAGCAAAGCCAAGTTGCACTCTTGTCCCTTAAATTATCACAGTTGAAACATAGGCTGGTCCGCAGCCCGTGTCACATAAATTACTGATGTTTTGATTTGAAACGTTGTAGGAAGACAGGGATAATTCTAGGGTGGGGCCTTGTGCTTTTAGCCCCAAAATTTGAAAAAAGGCCCACATTTTCAAATACAGTGGGGCATTCTAACATTGTGCTGTATTGGGGTACCTCTGGAATATTGCAAATTTTCACATAAGGGCCTGGGAACCCTGGGAACGTGCACATTATTTGAAGTACCCACAGTTTGATGATGTCAAGCCCAAGAACGCATGACAAAGTACACGTGACAAAGGGATTAGTGATGTAGTATGGTAAATAAACTTTAGAAGTACTGAGTGTGCTCAAAGATCAATGTTATGTGGACAACAAAAGCTTAGTCAGTCATTTTATAATTGACATTTGAAATATTTTGACATGTACTTGGTGCAAGAAGACATAAATAATATGTTTGCACTTTCGCATGTTTTATAGAGTACAATCAAGCCCTGTGTAGTTATGGCCTAATGGGGAGTATCTAATGGAGCAAGTCTGTCCAAGTACATTTTCCAATATTCTAAAACAAAATAAACCAACATGAACCTTGCCTCTGATCAATAGTATCATCAAGGGTCAGGTGACGACAAATAGTCGGGGTTTTCGACGTGACTTGAGGGCGACATGCGAGTGGGTCCAGAAGGAAATGGTTGTCCGTATTGCCTCAAGGTGGATCCTAACATTAGTGGTTAACGATGCAAGAAATTCAAAGATGGCATTTGGTTCCTTGTATCAACATTGGTTTCTTCAGACAGTCTTTGACATTTGTCCCATGAGATGTGAATATGAAGTTAATCAAGGAAAAGCTGCACTTACCTGGGACACTGATGTTGACACACTGCCAAAACTCATCCTAAAAAACAAATTAAAAAATTGTGAAAAAAAACCTCAAATGCATCAAAATACTGTAAATCTTGAGTGAGTGAGTGAGTTGGGTTTAACGCCGCTTTTAACATTATTCCAGTTATATCACCGCGTGTCAGCTTAATGTGGGAGGAAAGCCCGAAGTGATGCAGGTCTCAGACGTTTACAACTTCGGTGAAACCCATGAGCACGGGTATGGTGCTGACAAACCTAGAAACATAATCGGGGCGAACCGGGATTCGAACCCACAATCATAGGTTTCTGGCATGCCCAAGGGACGCAACTCTGCACAGCGAATCGCGGCGCCTTAGACGACTGGGCCACCTGTGCCCCCCTGTAAATCTTGAAATTAATGCGACCTTGAATTAAATGCAAAATATGCGAGTGGTCTTTGTTCACATTAATGAAACTTCGCATTTATTTCTCCAAAATGACTATCAACAATAAGACAGCCTCACTGCACACATTGGATAGCCGAAATACCAGCTTGAATATAAACACAAACTTGGTTTATTGAGCAATATTCCAGCTATATGACAGCTGTCTGTAAATAATCAAGTCTGGAACAGACAATCCAGTGATTGACATCATTAGCAAGGATAGAAGCAGTTTGGATATGATGACATAGATATAAACACAAGTATACATGGATATATTATACATGTCACATTGAAAATATACACCAGTACACATGGACTTATCACTTTTTAAACTTTGTAAATTTATCATCTGGATTTTTTTTACTGGTTTTCTCTCGAAGAATCTCTGATTCAGACACAAGTCTGTTCTCTTGGCTCGTCATGAATGTACTCACGAAACCAGTTACAAAAGCCACTGATCATTCACCGGTCAAACAGAATGATCCTAATAGAATTAAACCATTACAAACTAGCTGGCCCAATCCCCTGGCAATAAGTCTAATGGCACAGTGTAAAGGGGTTGACAGAAATATTAATGACAACTCAAGCATAACCAATTTGGTGATTTCAAATCACATACTAAAGTACAAATAAATCCCATATGATTATTTCTTTTAATCAGCGAACATAATGCAGCTACCAATCACAATTGACTGCCCATGAATCCCTCAACCATGTTACCAACAGCCGCTAGAAAACATATCTACATGAAAACGTGACGATCTTAATTCAAACCTCTAAACATACAAACTACTTTAAACAGACACTGAATCAGATAGGAAATGTACACTGGAGTAATCGGATCCTGTAAATGAAGTTAGTTGAATGCATGAACAATTTGGACGGCCTTCAGCTAGACATAGACTTGAGCCTTCAGGAACCGCGTTCCCCCGACACCAATAATGGTAGAAACCCATTTCCAGTTGACAATTACCCTAAACGGCAGATGTATTTCCAGATAATTCAAAGTAATGAGCAACTTCTCGAAGAGCTACAAGTACGAGGAGTTCTGAATGATATTGACCAATCAATAGAGGGGATCAAGTCGGCTTACAGCTAATCACAGAGGTGTGACCAATCAGGACGCACATAGCTGGAATCAATAAAGCTGTTCCGCCACCAGTCAATGTCCTTGAAACCACTGACCACCATGATTATTCGTGCAGTTAAAAGATTGCAAGCTTTGAACAACATCCTTCAATCGAATTTATTAGATTTTTCCTTCCTGCCCTTATCAATCTCTCAAGTGTTCTGAAAAACATTCCAACAAGTTCAAATGTTCACATCTTACGATTATGAAGATAGTCCTCCCACCCCACAAGATCCCATCCCTGACATCCTCCCACCCATAAGACACTACCCCAGACAGTTCTCCCACCCCACAAGATCCCATCCCTGACATCCCTCCCACCCATAAGGCACTACCCCTGACACTCCTCCCACCCATAAGACACTACCCCAGACAGTTCTCCCACCCCATAAGACACTACCCCAGACAGTTCTCCCACCCCACAAGATCCCATCCCTGACACTCCTCCCACCCATAAGACACTACCCCAGACAGTTCTCCCACCCCACAAGATCCCATCCCTGACATCCCTCCCACCCATAAGACACTACCCCAGACAGTTCTCCCACCCCACAAGATCCCATCCCTGACACTCCTCCCACCCATAAGACACTACCCCAGACAGTTCTCCCACCCCACAAGATCCCATCCCTGACATCCCTCCCACGCATAAGACACTACCCCAGACAGTTCTCCCACCCCACAAGATCCCATCCCTGACATCCCTCCCACCCATAAGACACTACCCCAGACAGTTCTCCCACCCCACAAGATCCCATCCCTGACATCCTCCCACCCATAAGACACTACCCCAGACAGTTCTCCCACCCCACAAGATCCCATCCCTGACATCCCTCCCACCCATAAGGCACTACCCCTGACACTCCTCCCACCCATAAGACACTACCCCAGACAGTTCTCCCACCCCATAAGACACTACCCCAGACACCCCTCCCACCCATAAGACACTACCCCAGACAGTTCTCCCACCCCACAAGATCCCATCCCTGACACTCCTCCCACCCATAAGACACTACTCCAGACAGTTCTCCCACCCCACAAGATCCCATCCCTGACATCCCTCCCACCCATAAGACACTACCCCAGACAGTTCTCCCACCCCACAAGATCCCATCCCTGACATCCCTCCCACCCATAAGACACTACCCCAGACAGTTCTCCCACCCCACAAGATCCCAACCCTGACATCCTCCCACCCATAAGACACTACCCCAGACAGTTCTCCCACCCCATAAGACACTACCCCAGACACCCCTCCCACCCATAAGACACTACCCCAGACAGTTCTCCCACCCCATAAGACACTACCCCAGACACCCCTCCCACCCATAAGACACTACCCCAGACAGTTCTCCCACCCCATAAGACACTACCCCAGACACCCCTCTCACCCATAAGACACTACCCCAGACAGTTCTCCCACCCCATAAGATCCCAACCCTGACATCCTCCCACCCATAAGACACTACCCCAGACAGTTCTCCCACCCCATAAGACACTACCCCAGACACCCCTCCCACCCATAAGACACTACCCCAGACAGTTCTCCCACCCCATAAGACACTACCCCAGACACCCCTCTCACCCATAAGACACTACCCCAGACAGTTCTCCCACCCCATAAGATCTCACCCCTGACACCCCTCTCACCCATAACACACTACCCCAGACAGTCCTCCCACCCCACAAGATCCCAACCCTGACATCCTCCCACCCATAACACACTACCCCAGACAGTTCTCCCACCCCATAAGACACTACCCCAGACACCCCTCCCACCCATAAGACACTACCCCAGACAGTTCTCCCACCCCATAAGTCACTACCCCAGACACCCCTCTCACCCATAAGACACTACCCCAGACAGTTCTCCCACCCCATAAGATCTCACCCCTGACACCCCTCTCACCCATAACACACTACCCCTGACACCCTTCTCACCCATAACACACTACCCCAGACAGTCCTCCCACCCCAGACACCCCTCAGACCCACAAGAACCAGCCCCAACTCACCAGGTCATAGGGACAGTGCTCCGCTGCCGTCAACACCTGCTTCATCTGCTGGACATACGTCCCCTCTCTCAGCAACTGCAACAACATAAACGACAAAATCAGCACCAAAGTACAAATGCCATACAGCTTCAAACACAAGTTCTTGTGCCGTACAGCTTCAAACACAAGTTCTTGTGCCGTACAGCTTCAAACACAAGTTCTTGTGCCGTACAGCTTCAAACACAAGTTCTTGTGCCGTACAGCTTCAAACACAAGTTCTTGCGCCGTACAGCTTCAAACACAAGTTCTTGCGCCGTACAACTTCAAACACAAGTTCTTGTGCCGTACAGCTTCAAACACAAGTTCTTGTGCCGTACAGCCCGAACAGCTTCAAACACAAGATACCAAACATGGAACTTTATCTCTCAGTCGATGCTTAATGTTGGAAAGAATCCATGTTTAGATTTGATGATGTTACATACTTCTCAAAAGAAGTAATGACATGACAGATCAACATAGTATTATTAAAGAATCTTTTATCGGGGTATTTACTGTTGAAATCGTCCTCGAACAAACTTAGTGAGTTGGCCTCGTTACATTCCTTTCCTTTTATATAGTATACTGACACTGGGTGTGACCATGTATCTTGGAGCTGCTAGTTTTTGCGTTACCAGCCCCTGTGCATGTATCAAGAACCTGCACACTTGCTTTGAAAACAACTTTCAAAAGTCTTTTATTAACATTGTTTGAATTTTAACCTTTTTTAACTTTCAAATTTATTTTATTATAATATTCAGGGGTATAATTAATTATGATATTCAACTTAAGGCATTTTTTGTCCATGTGGGCCATGTAATTTTTAAAGCACAGGGAGCCCCATGAACCCATCCCTCTCTCTGGCACAACACGCCTTTTCTCTGGCACAACACGCCCTCTCTCTGGCACAACTCGCCCTCTCTCTGGCACAACACGCCCTCTCTCTGGCACATCACGCCCTCTCTCTGGCACAACTCGCCCTCTCTCTGGCACAACACGCCCTCTCTCTGGCACAACACGCCCTCTCTCTGGCACAACACCCACTGACAAGGCTTACATCATAGGTCAGTGACACAATGTTGCAACTGTCTGTAGGCCTCTGTTCCAGATCCAGTGTTTAGGGCCACACTGCAACAATGTGCAACAACTGTGCCAAGATCAGTCCTTCCTCCATCAGATATCACTTATATACCATGTGTCACATTTCAACAAGTTCAGAGGCTGCCAACCTGTTAGTATGCAGCAGTCAGGAATCTATTTAGAGGATAGTCAACTCGGCAATGTGTTACATAAGAGGCAAATTAAATCTATTTGGTAAGCAGAATCAACATTTAAAAATAAAATAATGGTTTATGTAAACATTTCAATTACATAGCTATTGTTTTTTTTAATTTTCAGTAATTCAACTTCAGATCGCACCCTTTGCTCATTGCTCTTGATATTTGTGTTCAGTTGTATTTGAGATTCAGAGGGTGATCCAGAGTGAAAAATTAGGTTGTATTTGGGATTCAGGAGAGGGATGGGGTTGGCATCCTCAGATCCCGAATGTCATACATAATGAATGATTGTCAAACGTTGCACAGTCCTTCATGAAAAATAATCTGTTGTCATTACTTGAATGGGCTTACAGATCCCCAAATCTAAATTTCACAAATGTGAAATGAAATTACTTTATTCAGAACCGTCTTTTTATCTTTCCATCAAACCTGGCATCTAATTTCAGTAATAAAAAAACACATCAAAGAAGGTCAATAGTGGAGGGAAGTTCTTGAGTGTCATCTTTTAATTCATTTTTCTTTTCCAAGATTGATACTACTTTAAACCCATCACTAAAGAGTGTACATATATATATATTATTAATTTCCTACCACTGATCTTACTGTTTTACCCGAACTAGTAATAAAGGACCCAACACTAACCTTGACCAACTGTAGTAAGGAATGTTGAGGTAGCCCAGTGGTTAGAGTGTTCACTCATCACAATTCCCCAGCTTTGATTCCCCACATGGGTACAGAGCCCATGTTCTAGTGTCCACCACTGTCATATTGCTGGAATAGTGTTACAAGTAGTGACACACCGTTGTTTGTTTGTTGTTGTCTAACAGTGCACTCGGCATTATTCCAGCTATATGACAGCGGTCTGTAATAATCGAGTCTGCACCTGACAATCCCATGATTGACGTTATGAGCATCGATCCACGCAATTGGGATATGATGATATGCATCAACCAAGTCAGGGAACCTGACCACCCAATCCTGTTAGTCGCCTCTTACAACAAGCATAGTCGCCTCTTAAGGAAAGCATGGTTTGCTGAAGACCTATCCTACCCCAGATCTTCACGAGTCCCCAAAAACTTACTCACTCCAACTGCAGTTAAAGGCACTGTTTGAAGTGTTTGAAAATACCCTAGATATTGTAAGGGGTTTTCCCCAGATCGTGCAACTTCCTGTGTTTAGTCCTGTGTTCCAGATCTTACGTAATATTATGACGCAATGTCATGACAACATGTAACGATGTCATCTGGTCGTCACAGCGCTTGGCTGCAGACCCCATACAAGATATGGAATAAACTGTGTTGACCTTAAAGCATACTTATTCCTTCCTGCGGTCATTTGGGCGCCATGGTTCCCAGGCAAAGAACACGACAGTGTTGTCTCAATCAATTCTATCAATGATTGACTGGTTTCACAGTCCAACCAAGGAATGAATTGATAATGATTATTATTCCATAATTCTCGTTCACTTTGATAAATGTATGGCGGCAAATAAAATTGAGCTCAATATGAAAGAAACCCCACAACAGTCTGATAAGAGAAAGCGTTATAATATCTGTTGCGCTGCTTCCTTGTAAATGTGTTTGTGTCACGGAGAATAAGTTTTGCTGTTGAGTTATCGATTAATTGAGTTAGGGAATGTTATACCATTTTAGCGCCAGTAAAAGATGTTCACATGGTAACAGTTTTAACCTACATAAATGGATTTCCTCAGGAAGAAATGTGATACAAGGTTTACACCATCATCATCATTACATCAATCATCATCATCATCATCAATCACCATCAATCATCATCATCATCATCATCTGTGATGCTGTCTTAATCATAAAATTATCAGAAAAATGTTCTTGCTGTTGCTGCTGCTGTTGTGGCTGCTGCTGCTGTTGTGGCTGCTGCTGCTGCTGTTTCTATGTCAGTAAATACATCCCCCACAAATTGTTACAGCTCCATCTCAGATTCAGCTCAGAAAATTGTCTATTTAAATCCCTAGCAACCATCCAGATGCATTTTGTTCCACTGCTAACTACCTTTTCTTTCTCGTTTTGTAACAAAAACCTCCAGCCAAGAATAACAATGGCCGAATCTAAGAGGTAGGTGGAAGCACCTGACATGGGATATCATAAACGAAGTTGCGAGTAACGCTGAGGCTGGTAGATGTCCACAACAATGCCGACTCCCACATCACACACCAACTTATATATCAAAGCGTGATTTTGTTCAGTTACAAACACCTCAGGTAGAGCTCCACCTGTCTCCTTCCAACAACAGACCCATACATCTCAGACACACTTTCTTAATCTCCTCACTATAAAGCAAATCTACGTAAACAGATATAAAAAATGGTTTCAACCACAAATATATGAACCAAAACCTAAATTTATATCTTATGAATGTCTTGATATGAAAACTATCTCAACAACAAGAGTATATCGAAGAATATACCAAACATTGTGTTATAACGAGGGGGCACCTTGCGACAACCCCAGCAACTTGGACAGTATTGGTTGTGTGGTTTGAGGCTTCTAGCTCTTTGAAGTGGCCTCTCTACTTTCATTTATCATCATTAAGAAATGATAGGGCCGTGCAGACTGTGCTGGCCTGTATTAATTATTATCACCAAATCCTGGCCCCAAGATAAGACGCTGGGAACCGCCACCAGGGGTCACTGCGGATCAATTAGAATTGCAAGTAGGGTGAAATGCCTTTCCTCCGATAGAGTCTGGTGGGGCAGGCAAACTTAACCCCTTCATCCCCTTGATTCCTATTGTGGAGTCAGCCTATCTTTGATCACAAAGTATGGTAATCTATTGCAGGGGTTAGAGGGTTAATGTGGAAATAGTGTAACACAGTTACTAGAAAGTTATGAATATTCCAACATGGAATTCCTAAATGGAAATACACGGAACTATTGATTTTTTTAAGTAAAAAAGACACATTTTTGCAATAAATTGGATAATTTTCTTTTGTTGTATTGTGGCTGTCCAACTATACGAAGATACAATGCTTTGAATAACTAGAATATTTATCATTAATTTCAAACAAGTATTGATGGCCTTGTCAGCATGTATGAATATTTCAATAATCACACATCTCATTAATTAACATTCCATCATCGACGTTTACAATTGGCCATGGCCCCCACCAATAAATCATTTTGATCAGAGTTCACAGGTGAATGAGCAATAGTATGATAAGTCCAGTCTTTAACATACACAATTGATTATTTGTAATCTAATATACCAGCCTTCCAAATATCCGAACGTCCTTCCAGAGTAAACATCAGATAGTTTTATCTTGATCGATGTCTATACCAAGATTTAGTTCACAACGAATGTTGGTATTCTGCTGGTACCTGTGTTCAAGCATTTCAGGGACTATTTATCACTAATTGATCACTTATTTGTCTTATGCAGGTAGGTATAAAAGTCTCCTCAATGTAATGTTGATGCCGTGGGACATAGCCTAGGGGCAAGCTGGAGTTTATCTTACTTAGACCTGCTCCGAGGCTGATATTCGGCCCCACATCTGCAGCAAATGTCAGCAAAAATTCCCAAATTGGAATAAACAAGAGCAAAAGTGAGCGTGGCTCACCAATACCCCCCCCCCCGACCCGCCTAGTGTGTCAGTAGTTTCAAATTAAATAGCTAGGATAGGGTTAGGGTTTGAAAAATTCATAAAAAAATGGAAAACAATTTTTTTCTTTTGACTGCACCCCTCCATATGACACAGAGTATATGTACTAAGTTTGAGATGAATCCACTGAATAGTTTAAGAGAAATCGTG